CCTTAAGGGATCCAGTGACGTTAAGAAAATTTCTACATATGGCGTTTTTTCCTTGTAACCTCAGTAATTTGAACATGAAGCGCAGTTCAAAGCCAAAACTGAAGATATCGCTTAAATAGGATGGCCGTCTCGAATCCTCTGGTTTAACGGAGAATTAACGAGGCGCAAAGTTTTGCCCAATGTCGAAATGTCTTGCCAAAACGTTTGAAATGTGAAAACTTGCGGACACACAAGGTTCTGTGATGTTGGCGGACACCAACATACCAACGTGATTATCAAGTCGGTAGATCACTCGATCTCTCGTTAAGGTGTAAGTAACATGAATTCTTAAAATTTTATTTCTGTGTGGCATATTACAGTTACCACATAGAGGATGGTGTTCCATGATCTCTGAGAAAATAATGCGCTTGAAGTCTAAAAAAACTGCTGTTGAACGCACGAGCGGAACGCGAGTGAGTTAAGCATTTTTTTTTTAGTCTCAGAAGTGCATTATTTTCCGGTGTAGAAAACATAGGAACACCATCCTCTATTTGGTTTAGAATTAAGCGTGAAAAAGTGAAAATAATTAAATCTGAGAAGGGGCGGGACATACGTTCTCTATAATTGCCATCGCTCAGCTCCGATAGCGGGCCGACAACAGCTATATTCTAAGGAGCTGTCTTCAACAGAACAATGCATTGTTTGTAACAATAGTTTTTAGCTGTAAGGTCTCTAGGAATCGAGAATGATGTAATTCCCGATGGACGCATACGGGCTTCCTCCGAAAAGACTGGTTATGACGCATGGAAAGGACGATTAAACGGAAACTCCTGTTGTATGCCATTAAAAAATAAAGCTACACTGTACATAAGGATTGCTTTTGTAACCAAGGTTACCATTGTTGCCATAGCTACGCAAGGTGCCCCTGATACCTTCTGCTGGGTGAAGAGTTACTACATACATTGGGGGTCCTATGTACCGTCTGGGGTGGTTATGGAAGCTGAACCCAAGGTAAAGTAGACATCATTCTTTTTTTATTCTTTGTCTTGATTTTACTCTTTATATTTACGTTTCGGTTTAGTTTTTTTTGAACATCGATAACAAAACATTGGAACCTTGCTTATCAGAAAAGTGATTTTATTTATATGTGCTA